CTTGTGTGATTCCAAATAAACCTGATGGACGAGAACCTGGTGTCGTGTGACTTCTGACTTTGTCCACCCCAGTCCAACATCGGCACCTCCACGTCGCAGTCCAAACATGTGCAGGTTAGGTGGATTGGCCATGCTAAATTGTCCATAGTGTTCAGGGATGAGCAGACTAGGTGGATTAGCTTTGGGAAATGTATGTCTAGGGGATATGGTGGGTGATGCTGGGACTGGATAGGATTCTGTTTGGAGGGTTGGTGCAGATTCAATGGGCTGAATGGCCTGTTTCCACACTGTAGGGACTCTAGATATCTGGAGCTTTCCAGCTCTGACCAAGTTGTTGAAATACCAACTTCTTGCTTTCTCATTGCCATTTTCTCACAGCTCTTTTTGCTCTTGCCATTTCAAACATATCTTCATTTGTCTTGTGGACTGTCTTTGGAATTCTTAGCTGAAGTCTTTACATCCATCTTTTAAAAGTATCTATTTTCTTCCACTAATCTTTACTTATTGTCCAGATTTCTGAGGCAGACTGAAAAGTGGGGTAAAATCTAGCATGTTCTGAATCTTTTTTCTTGTTACATGTTTTGAGTTTTCATCTTATTAACACATCCTTCACCTTCTGGCTATCTCTTGCCTTCTTCTAACTTCTGCAAAGCATCTGCTATTTACTGTTATAATTTGTCCCAAATTAATAAACTTGCTGACTTTTACTAGTGGGACTTCCACTCGTAAAAGTCAGCAAGTTTATCAATTTGGGACACCATCATTTCAATCTTCACTCGAATTTCTACTCATGCATTCCTTCCTACTTCCAATGATTTTGTCTTTCTGGTGTTCATACACAATCCAGATTCTAAGTCTCTAGATTTTCTTGATCTGCGATACTTTGTATGGCCTTTGAGATAGGAGTATTTACTTCAGAAATTTAAACCCAAATTGTTAGCTGCCTTTATCACATTTCATACTTTGGACGTTTTAAAGGGTGACAGATGCTTTCGAGACTTCTATGTAATAGTTAAATGTCAGTAGCGTAGCTCACAGGAAGTGCAGTAATAACAAAAACTCAATCCTTTACGATGGTCAGACAGCATAGAAACAGACCCTTTGGTCCAACTCGTCCATGCCAACCAAGTTTCCCAAACTAAATTAGTCCCATTTGCCTGCACTTGGCCCATATCCCTCGAAACATTTCCTATTCATGTCCCTGTCCGCATGTTTCTTAAATGTTGTATTTGAATCTGCATCTACCACTTCCTCCGGCAGTTCATTCCACGTACAAATCACCTTCTGTGTGAAAAGGTTGCCCCTCAGGTCCCTTTTAAATCTTTATCCTCTTATCTTAAAATTATTCCCTCTAGTTTTGAACTCCCCAACCCTGGGAAAAACACCTTTGCTATTCACCTCATCGATGCTCCTCATGATTTTATAAACCTCTATAAGGTCGCCCCTCAATCTCCCACGCTCCAGTGATAAAAGCCCCAGCTTATCCAGCCTCTCCTCCAACTCAAACCCTCCAGTCCCAGTAACATCTTTGTAAGTCTTTTCTGCACCCTCTCCAATTTAATAATATCCTTCCTATAGCAGGTCAACGAGAACTGTACACACTACTCCAAAATTGGCCTCACCAGCATCCTGTATAACTGCAACATGACATCCGAACTCCTATTCTCAAACACGTGAGCAACGAAGGCAAGTGTTTCAAACACGTTCTTTACTACTCTGTCTACCTGTGATGCAATTTTCAATATTTTGCACCTGAACCCCAAGATCTTTCTGTTCCACAACACTCCCCAGGGCCCCACCATTTAGTGTGTAAATCCTGAAAACCTCGCATTTATCTAAATTAAACTCCTGACCAGCAGTATTCCATAGGAATTGGTGCGAGGTCCACTGTAATTTGTCATTTATATAAACGTTTTGATGAGAATATAGGAAGTATGGGTGGTTGGTAAGTTTGCAGATGACACCTAAATTGGTAGCATAATGGACAGTAAAGAAGGTTATTTAAGATTACAAATGGATATTGATCAATTGGGCCAATGGGCTGAGGAGTGAATGAATAATCCTCTAAAAATTAAAAGTGAAATGGTCATTATGTTAAGTCTAAAGTCTATTGATATGTTAGCACCTCAACCTTTTTGAGGTGTTAATGGCTACGCTAAGCCCCCAAAATAATGAGCAGCAAGATTTAGACATATGCACTGGAAGTGCAACATCCAGCAGGATTGGACAGGGAAATAAAAATCATCCTTTGCAGATATTAGAAGTGGCCATTGAGTTGTTTGCATCTGCAAAGAAAGGGTAATGCCTGCTTGAGGTCCACTCCCCATGATTAGTTTGGACTGAGGCAGCAAGGCTTCAGACTCAGAGGAACCAGCCCTCATGAATGCTGACAACCAAAACAATGAATAAGTTACCTGACTGTGAAGTCAGGTGAAGGAGGAGTGCTGCTCCTGACCCGTCTGAAGGTTCAATATTGCCAGCACTGTTCCCTGGCCATCACAGATTCTCTAGACCCCTGCCCCTATTCTAACATGAGTCGGTTCATCCAGCAACAATCTCCCCATCAACATGCCCCTCCACCACTCCCTACATTTGATCCCAACCCCCAATTGTCCCCAATCCTCACTCTGAATCCCAAATCAATCTGTTCACAATCCTCATGGCACCCCATTCATCACTACTCCCTTCTCCTGATCCTTCTCATTGGAATCACCATGACTCAATCCCCCAGGGCTTCCTCTCCCATCATGCACAAGGCCCAGAATCCTGACCCTGCTCTTACCTGATACTAATCCTAATCCACTGACCGGAGAACCGCCTGATATTACACAAGGCTTCACAACAGTTCCATTACATCTAGCGAGACTCTGAGCTCAACATTCAGTTCCAAAGAGTCTAGTGTCTGCATCCCACTCCGACAACCTGTGAACATAAATTTCCAAGTCCAATTTTATCCAACTATTAGTCAGCAGATATTCTGCCTCAAAAATTTCATGTTCTTAAAGAAATGCATGGTTTCAATATTTTGCTTTAATTGACAACTGAAGTTGTTTTTATTTGATGGATGTGCCAACTGTTCTGATGGAATTCTGCCCTAGTTCCAGCCTGAATTTGGTCTGGTCTAGGCCTTAGACTGCAGTCCTAACAAATCTGGCAAAGGAAGAGTCTCTGTTTACCCTTTAACTGAGCATCCACATTAATAGGCAAAGAGTAGGGAGTATAATTTCTATGCTAAATTCTGGCATCCTCAGACAAGAGGAACTGTTCTGTAATATTGGGGACTGGGTCACTAAAGCAGAAAAGGCCTTTGTTCCAATGCAAGTGAGCATGGTGGGGGATCTAAATGACTAGCACATGACCCCAGCTGGTCTTTTAGACACAAGTATGAATTCTGGGATGGTAGGACAGATGTATAAAAAGAAACTGGATCCATTGAGATTATATTCTCTGGAATTTAGAACAATGAGGCAAAATCTCAAAGAAACCTATAAAATTCTAACAGGGCTAGATGGGGTAAATGCAGAAAAGATAATCCCAACAACAAGGGAGTCCAAAACAAGGGGTCACCATCTAAAGAAACAGGGTAGGCCACTTAGGACTGAGACGAGGAAAAATTTCTACACCCAGAGAGTAGGGAGCCTGTGGAATTCTCTGCCACAGAAAGGGTTGTGGCCAAAACATTGAATGTTTTCAAGAAGGAGTTAGATATAGTTCTTAGGGCCAATGGGATCAAGGGTTATGAGGAGAAAGTGGGAACAAGGTACTGAATTGGATGATCAGCCATGATCGGATTGAAAAGTAGAACAGGGTCAAAGGGCTGAATGGCCTGCTCCTGCTCCTATTTTCTATGTTTCTATGTTTCCAAGAATGTAATCTATCCCGATACATTGTTGCCCTGACACCAAATATCTGCTTCCTATGAACAGCCCACTACATCCAGGATGTGCTTGTTCTGAAAAGGATTGATGAATAAATGAACATGGGATGGATACAAGGGATGGATGGACAGGCAAGAAAGAAAGGAATAAGAGAATGTTATTCGGTCAAATTAGATGGTAATTTCTCAGTATTGTTTGTTCTCAGGTTGAGATTCCTAAGATCCCAGCAGCTCAGAAACCATCACCTTCCAGATAATTTCCAATAAAATCTCAGTGTTAATCCTTGCACCCCTCAATCACTTACCAAACTGGTTCTTTAATTAGGAGATAGTAGGAACTGCTGATGCTGGAGATTCTGAGACAACAAGGTGTAGAGCTGGATGAACACAGCAGCCCAAGCAGCATCAGAGGAGCAGGAAGGCTGACGTTTCGGGTCTGGACCCTTCTTCAGAAACTATCAGATGAGTGGACAACATTGAATAGATTATCTTGACCCAGGTACAACTGGAATTTCTTGTTCTTGGCCATGATCTTGTTTCTGAAGAAGGGTCCAGACCCGAAACATCAGCTTTCCTGCTCCTCTGATGCTGCTTGGCCTGCTGTGTTCATCCAGCTCTCCATCTTGTTATCTCTGGTTCTTTAATTATTTCTGTTCTTTCGCTCATCATGTGCACAACTTTAGCTGGGAGTGCTTTCCCCAATTTTCATAGCAATGGAGAGGTGAGGGATGTACATCGCAGGAGTGGTGGGGAGACCATGTTACTTCTTGATTTACCACTCGGATTCAGAAACTTAACATAATGTGGTTCCATGTGCTTGCAATACCAAATTGGGAAAGGTATCAGATGCTGATGAAAAAGCTCAGAAACTATCAGATGAGTGGACAACATTAAATAGATTATCTTGCCCTGGAATTTCTTGTTCTTGGCCATGATCTTGTTTCTGCACACTAATCGAGGGAAGAACAAAATCATTTTCTGTAATGACCCCACTGTTTGCTTTGACTTACACAACTTTCAATTGGGGATCTCCTAGGTGTGTGTGAATACTTACCACATGCAGTCGAGGCTCCCCAAAATAGAAACCATATCTTAATCAAAGAGATTTGTGTTTGTGCTCCAGGGCAACATCTCGGCTGTTCTCAGGACTTTGATGGGACAGGACAGATCTTCGCACATGCTTGGTACTTGGCCGATATCCATTTTGACGACGCTGAACATTTTGTTGTCACCAACAACGGTCAGGGCATTAGTCTCCTTCCGGTATTTCATTGTTTTTTATCCTCTTTCCCTTCTCTTTTTCTCTTTTCTTTTCCTTATACATAATCATCAGTGTAATATGGCTTAATATCACAGGGGAATATTTCTAGCTATAGGGTGAAAAAATACCGAGTGGGTGATATAAGACATATTTGTTTGAAAGCTCACATTTTGCATGCAATTTTCGTCCATAATTACTAAAGATTGTAATTTGGATGTGTTGGGAGTCACAATTTTTGCAGAGCAGTATGTGTGGGCTCCTTGTACCTACTGAAGGTGCAGACTTCTCAGCTAGCGCACAGCTACGCACAATAGGATGACTCAGAGACAGTGGGTCTCAGGTGCTGTACTTCAAGCCCTGGTAGAGAAGGGTAAAGGAGCCTTTAACCTGCAGCTGGGAAAGACACCGCCTGCCTGTTTGTACTCACTGCCCTTCCCCTGCAGCAGTTGGTGCTGGTTTCCCTGGCCTTATGCACCCTCACTTCCATTTCTCATCCAGACCAAGAGTGGCCACTTGAAAATTACCAATCACCTCACTATCCCTTTCTCCTAGTGAGTCCTTTAGCAAGTTGGAGTAGCACTGCACTGAATCTTTATAGGCAAAGTCCTCAATGAATTTGCAGAATTTTGCTCACGTCAATGTTGCTTAGGTGTAGAAATCTTGACAAAATGTGCCATACAGTCTCCCATTGTGTTTCAGATGCCCTCTCCACTGCTTCAGCAACGAGTGACCTTGAAGTGATGCTTTAAGTCATACTTGGAATCCACATCAATTCTTTGTTTACTCCTAATTAAATAGTCAGCGTTAGAATGGGCAATAGAACAAGTGATAATGATTCAAAGCCAAGCAGCCTCCCAATTGAGCATGAGCAGGCATTTCAAGTGATGATCGGCCCCTCTAGGCAAGTATTCTAATGCGGGTTTCAACTCCTTACACAAGCGGTGTCTTCTGCTAAAATGCAGCTAAATTGAGTATCAACTAATGCCCCTACCTTGGCTATCTCAGACCCTATTATATGCTGGCATTGGAGGGTGTCCAGGGTATGTTTGCAGCAATGATCCCAAGAATGAAGGGCTTGTCATAGGAGGAGCGGTTAAGAGCCCTGGGTCTGTACTCGATGGAGTTTAGAAGGATGAAGCAGGATCTCATTGAAACTTACAGAATACTAAGAGGCCTGGAAAGAAGGACATGGAATGATGTTTCCACTAGTAGGAGAGACTAGGATCCGACACCACAGTCTCAGGGTGAAGGGATGACCCTTTAGAATTGAGATGAGGAGGAATTTCTTCAGCCAGTGGGTAATGAATCTGTGATACTCATTGCCACAGAGGGCAGTGGAGGCCAAGTCATTGAGTGCATTTAAGACAGAGATAAATGGGTTCTTGATTGGGAAGAGGATCAAGAGTTGCAGGGAGAAGACAAGAGAATGGGGTTGAGAAACATATCAGCCATGATCGAATGGCAGAGCAGACTCAATGGGCCAAATGGTCTAATTCTGCTCCCAAAACCTATCACCAGACAGAACTTCCAAAATCACCCCCAGCCAACTCCAGAATTGTACAGTACAGAAGGAGGCTATATCAGTCCTAAATGGTCTACCCTGTATCCTGAGACTGCTACCCCTGATTCTAGACTCCCCAGACAGGGAAAACATCCTTCCAGCATTGAGTCCATCCAGCCTGTTTGAATTTTATTTGTATCAGTCAGATCCTCCTCTCATCCTTCTGAACTCTAGTTAATACAGTTCTGACAAAGGGTCACTGGACCCGAAACGTTAATTGATTTTTATTTCACAGATGCTGCCAGTCCTGCTGAGCTTTTCCAGCAACTTCTGTTTTTCCTTCTAGTTAATACAGGCTCAGTCAAACCAATCTGTCTTCATAAGACAGCCCTACCATCCTTGGAATCAGCCTCATGAACCTCTGCTGTACTTCCTCTGTGACACATCCTTTCTTAGGGAGGGAGACCAAAACTGCACACAATACTTCAGGTGTGGTCTCACCAAGGTCTGCAGTAAGACAGTCCTATTTCTGAAGTCAAAACCTCCTGCAAAAAATGACCACTTACAGACATGTCACTGGGTTTGGGAAGGAGCGAAAGGAGAGCGAAAATGATTATCACTTGAGCTTTCACTCAATATCCAGTACGCATCCACAACAAAGTGTACACATAGACATCAGGCAGGATAGACTTCGGCACGAAATCTTCTGTAGTTCGATGAGGACATACTAATTAGATTCAGTTCCGACAAGCAGGGAAGAAAGTGACAAACCGTTAAAATAAAGTGGTACAGCAGAGACAACACAATCTTTGAAGAAGTAATGTAATATCTGGAATCAGGTAGCAACTTAAAGGTGCACCTGGACCTCTAAATTATCTGTAATTAGTGTAATTGTTCACACCAATACAATAATCTCTGCTTGGTCAATATTAGAAAGGGAAATCCAATTGTCCTTGAAAATAATTTCAGTATGGATTAAGAGCAGATTAGTTTAATTAAAATGTTACAATCAAACAGCCACCTTTAGAACAATGCAGCAGTTCATGAAAGGAATAATGCACCTTCATTCTTTTGAGGATCTCAGTGAACTTCCACAAAAGGAATGGAAAAGAGATACTGCACCTTTAAGCATTGTGTTACCTTACTCCTTTTAAGTAACCTAAACGCACTGTCGTCATGAAAATGATCTGCTTGTTGTAGCTTGGCTTTGCAGACTCCGTTCTCACCTTCTCCTCTTTCAGGTTGCCGTCCATGAAATTGGCCACGCCCTGGGTCTGTCCCATCTCCTTCGAACAGGGTCTGTCATGCACCCCAATTACAACACCCAGAGTGAAAACTTTGAATTGGACTGGTTAGACAGAAAGGCCATACAGCGTTTATATGGTAAGAATAGAGACTGGAAACATCCTAGAAACATCAGGTGACTATTCCAGTTAACAAAGGGTAGAAATGGAGAGTTACACTGTTTTACGAAGCTGACTGCAGTTTATTTATCAATAACAATTTTTTAAAAAAAGATCACAGTGAAACAAAAGAAGTGAATCAAGTAGCTATTCAGTTGTAAAATTCGACAGGGTTCATGGCTATCTTTTATATATTTTTGCCAAACGTTAATCTGGTTCTGACTCATACATGATTCCAGTCCCACAGACAACTTGCATGCCTCTTAATCTGCCCTCAGAACTTCAAGACTGAAGCTAAGCAGCACCGTTATGATATATTCATATTGTATACAGTATTACTACATACTATATAAGAGTACTTATACCCAGGAGATACCTAGGCATCACCACCACGAGCTGCTCGTACCATTCCTTTGTGAAGGTGAGGTCCCACGCACCCTCAGTGTTGACAGTGGGCATACTGTAAGTCAAGTAAAATCCTAGAGAAACTGCTTCATTAAAACAAAAGTACAAATGTGCTTCTGAAGAATTTTTTTTTTGCTGGTCGGTACATTCAGTGAGATTGTCAATTTTAAAATTAGGAAACCCAGAATTCAAAAATGAATCATGGCAATTTGTTTCTAGAGAGGTGACAGTTAGCATTCATTGCCTACCCCTAGTTGCTCTTGAGAAGGTGATGATGAGCTGCTTTCTTGAACCGCTGCAGTTCTTGAGATGTACATGTAAAATGCTGTTAGGGACAGAATTCCAGAATCTTAACCCATAATGATTTGTTTCCATTTTAGGACAATGTGTAACTTGGAGGGGAATGTGCATGTATGTTGATCCCACATTTCTGCTTCCCTTGTCCTTCTAGGTAGAAGAGATTGCAGATTTGGAGAGTGAGGTCAAATGAGGCTTGGCAAGCTGCCACAGTGCATTTGTAGATGGTACACCTACTACTAAAATGCACTAGTGGTGAAGGGAGTGACTGTCAAATGTTTATAATAGGCACCCTCAGTAAAAGTACTGATCAGGAAAAATATCTTCAGAAATGGATTTGTATTCTTGCTTTCACTAAGCAGTTCTCAACATACATTTTACAAGTTTATACATAGCTAAAAAGAGACACAAAGTTGAAACTTTTTGGCTTATGCTCATCAGGACTGGAATGCAAGAAACCAAACTTAGAAAGGGAACACCAATTTACACACCATGATAAAAGGTTGCTGATTTCTCTGGGCATGTTGGCATTGAGATACAGTGGGGTTGTTAACTGTCAATCGGAGACCGGACAAATAGACTATCCTGGGTCAGGATATTGTCATATGGAATGTAGGATGGGATTGGCAGTCTACATCATTCTTTCACATCGAAAAGCAGTGCAATATATTGACAAACTCCTTTTGCCTACACACAACAGTGTTGTGAATATGTGCAGCATCTCGCACAGATTTCTCCAACCTTTTTGCATGGGAGGGGGGCCCGCATCACAATTTTTCTCTCACCTGGGGGCTACTGAGCAAATTTCATAAAGATATGGTTTGGTGTAATTGTAAACATGAATGAGAAAATAACTTCCACTGCAATAAATTAATAATTTAAATAAATGAATAACCAATAGGAATGACAATTGAAAAGTGTCAAGCAGCAGAACTAACTAATAAAACAGTTTATTTTGCCTTTTCAATAAAGAAGCAGAGACACAAAGAGACAGACCAAGCACCAGTCCTGATCACCAGGGAAAGAGATTGGATTGGGGATGAACCATGGTGTTGGGTTTAAGTAATGCAGACTTTGTTCTCACCTCTGAAGGCAAATACTCCAAGATTAACCGTATGAAACGGAGGTTGGAAGCAGGTTACATTCCAGACTCGTTTCTCCTACTCTGTCAATTTACTTTAATTACAGGTTTTGTGTGGAAGTGGAGGGCAGAGTATGCACCTAAGGTCCATTCAGTCTCGATGTTCAGACGCACCCTCATTGCTCCCACTCACTCACACCCACTCCACGTACATGCTCAGCTTCTTACTCCCTCCCTCACACATGTACGCTGGGTCTCCACCATTCCGTCCCACACACACACACTTCCCCTCTCACTCTCACATACTCGGCCACTCCACTCACTCTCACAGATATTCCAGCTCACCTGCTCACTCCCTCCACTTTACTCACTTACTCTCCCACAAACACACACATTCTCTCTCTCTCACACGCACACACACCTGTCACTCACTTTCTCCCACACACACACACTTTCTCTCTCACAGACACACATACTCTGTCACTCACTCTCTCCCACACATACACTTTCTGTCTAACACAGACACACACACACACACACATACTCTTTGACACACACCCACCATTTTGCTCACTCTTTCCCAAACACACACTCTGTCATACACACACACTCTTTCACTCACTCTCTCCCACACACACACTTTCTGTCTCACACAGACACACATACACTTTCTCACACACACACACCCTTATGCCCTTTCACTCACTCTCTCCCACACATTTACTCTCTCACACACACCCACTCTTGCACTTCCTCTCTCCCATACACACACACTGTCACACACACACACACACACACACACTCATTCACTCACTCTCTCCCAAACACACACTGTCATACACACTCACTCTCTCCCACACACACACTCTGTCACCCACACACTTTCACTCACTGTGTCCCATGCACACATACCCACTTTCACTTACTCCTAATCACACAGTAACTCACATATCCCCCTTTGGTCCCTCCTTCCCATCCACACACACACATACACTCATATACTCCCCATCTCACTTCCTCCTTCCTCACACACATCGATACAGACAACCCCACTTTCTTCCTTCACAGATGTGCTCAAACTGGATGCAAATGAAGCACACTGTGAGCCTAATTGATATTCTTAAATATGTTTCTGGTGAACTAGCAAGTGATAACTTTGCAAGCGGATAGCAATGGGCTTACATGGGACCTGATTTTCACAAAGGAACTGCCTGAAATGCTTCTAGTAACGAGACATCCCGGTTAGTTACACGCAGCAATCATTGGTAACACTCTCTTCCTTAACTGCCAGGTGTTTGTGAAGGTGCTTTCAGCACGGTTTTTGACTGGGTCTATCAGCGTGAGAATTCCGATGGCACTGTAACTTACAACTTCAATACGTACTTCTTCAGGAAGAGCTGGTACTGGATGTACGAGAACAGGAGCAATAGAACACGGTACGGAGACCCTATTCCTATCTCCGCAGGCTGGCGCAATCTCCCTGATTCCAATATCGATGGCTATGTTCATGTCTGGGCCTGGAGCAGTAACGTGGAGGAGAAGAGAGATGCCCAGTACTTCTTCAAAGGTAAATACACCTAGGTGACAGTCTATTGGAAGTTTTCATTCAAGGAAATGATGATAATATCGGCTGTCATCATTGTTGGTAAATACGATGTGAAATTAAATCATTCTGAGTAGTGCGATCCCATGCTTCAGTCATCCAGCTGTGCTGATTGGCTGCAGCGCCACTACTGTATCAGCATAAAAATAATTTGACTTGACCTCTTAAGCATCGTCAAAGAACTTGCATTCATATGGCACCTTTCATGATGTATAGACGTATCCAAGTGCTTCACAACCAATGAAGCACTATTTTAGGCAATCAAGATTGCCATATAGGAAGACAGCAGATATTTGGGGATGCAGTAATGCCACCAGAGCAAGCCATTCAGTAGGCCTAGCCAAATGCTCTGGGAACAAGTTCCACGTCTCGCTATGGCAGATAGAATATAGATTCAGTTGATCAAAGGAAATGGGAATGATAGCTAGTCTCATGAATAGTCAACATGACAGCTTCCATTGATTGTTGTAAAAGCCCATCTGGTGCGCCAATGGCCTTTCATGATGGAACTCTGCCATTCTTACCTGGACAGGCCTACAAGTGACTCCAGACCCACAGCAATGCAGTTTACTCTTATCTGCCCTCTATATTGATCATTTACATCTGCCTGGGAGGGCTGTGATGGTGTTCAGCCATTCATATCTCCTGCATGTGTGAGTTCTTTAGGGGCATACATGGTCTATAGTGTGTGACAGAACAGCCAGCTTCAGTCATGCAGAGTAAACGAGATGTAGTTTTTGCATTTCTGCTATCTTTTAACTTATGCGTATGGAGGTATATTGCCACCTAACCTTAGGCCTCCCACAAGATTCGTAATTTACTCACCCATCAAATCCTTCTGACATCAGCACAGTACTTATTGACTAAAACAAATATTAACCCTTTCAAACTCTTTCTGATTTAGGGACAACATCTCCGCACAAATATGTTTTTCTCCAAAACTATTATTTGTTATATATATTTGTTTATATAATTGCATTTACCAGTACACCATATCTCCCTATATTTTTGTCTTTACAAATTCAGATAATCTGGAGGTTTAATTATTCTACCTGAACATGTTTTCTTCCAGCTTGGAAGAACAATCATTTGTTGAGTAGAAATTCATTATGTTGGACTGTCTTCCTGCCAGTCTGAAGTCTGAGGCTCTCTACTCAACTGGAGGATCTTCATGAGATCATCCCTGCTGTAGTGAGCACATTTCTTTTTGCAGTATCTTGAATCCTTAGACATTGGTTGATCCTTCATAGCAGTGTCTTCCATAGAACTGTATCCATCACATCTTCAATCTGCATCAGTGAATTTTTGTACTCAGTGTTTCTGTAGATCTGCACTGATGTAGGTAGAACTTATTATTATATATTGTTATTTCCTCCATTGTGTTACTGGAGGATTCATTGCTCGATGTGACATCCTTTATGATGAGGATTCCTCTTTGAAAGGAAGCAAGGTGAGATATTCAACTTGTACCTTCCTAAACATCTCAGTACCTAATGTGCGACTTGAATTTGTCATAACGAATTGCTCAGCACTGTGTTACAATTTGACTCCATTCAGTTTTAGATGCATCAGTTCTCTTGAGTGGGGTGCAGTGTTCAGTTGCTGCATATTAGTTTGTCTTTCTTCTCAAAGTTCATTGCATCTTGGACTTCAAATTCTCTTCATTTTGACAGCAGTGGAAACATTTTGGCAAAACAGCACAGTTACAAATTTCAATCCCAATGACACAGTATGAACTTTTTTATTCCGATGTCATCAACATCAAGGCAATCTGTTTTTAGTTTAGCTTTTGGCATTGCTTTCAGAGCTCTGTAAAAGTTTCTAGCTATAATTCCTTAACCAGCTGTTTCTTGGCTGCAATCTTTTGACTTATTGTTGCTTAGCCCCTTCCAGCTTTTGAATGAGTTTGAAATCAAGAGTAAGAATTCCTGCTTATGAAGTACAAACAGGGTTTTTTTTTGACATTTGGTTTCTCTATCTTGGAGAATTGCTTTTAACATAAATTTAACATTAAGTGCAATGCCACTGGACCCTGTAAACGAACCTCTGTCAGCTGTAAAGGCTCATATTTGATAAAATTGTGACACTTGCTGACATTTCCAACTTCAAATTGATGACACGTGTATTGACATAAATGCTTGCTTACCAAAATGTTTGGAGTGCAGCACATGTTTCCCCCAGGAATACTTTGGGAATTTTTGCTACTGGAGACTGTTCGACGTTATTTACCATTTTGTATGGGTAGTTCTTTAGTCTTTTGCTTTGCTGTGGCTACATCCTGTTTCAGCATATTTTCACAAGACTGTACACAGTACTCCACATGTGGTCTCACCAGTGTCCTGTATAACCTGAAGCATCACCTCCCTACCTTCATATCTAATTCCCTTCATGATAAATGATAACATTCTTAACATTACCTTTTCTAATTACTTGTTGTATATGCATACTAACCATTTTGCAATTCATCCATGAGGACACCCATGTCCCTCTGCATCTTTGCATTCTGCAATCTCTCACCATTTAGATAATATTCTTTTTTGTATTCTGCCTGCCAAAATGGACAGTTTCACATTTTCCCACATCTTACTTCATTTGCCACATCTTTGTTCAATTACTTCACCTACCAATTTTTTTTATATAACCTGCTAATGCCCATTTCACAACTTACTTGCCTGCCACTTGGAGTATTGCGTACAGTTCTGGTCACCGCATTATAGGAAGGATGTGGAAGCATTGGAAAGGGTGCAGAGGAGATTTACCAGGATGTTGCCTGGTATGGAGAGAAGGTCTTATGAGGAAAGGCTGAGGGTTTTGAGGCTGTTTTCGTTAGAGAGAAGAAGGTTAAGAGGTGACTTGATAGAGACATACAAGATCATCAGAGGATTAGATAGGGTGGGCAGTGGGAGCCTTTTTCCTCGGATGGTGATGGCTAGCACGAGGGGACATAGCTTTAAATTGAGGGGTGATAGATATAGGACAGATGTCAGAGGTAGGTTCTTTACTCAGAGAGTAGTAAGGGCGTGGAATGCCCTGCCTGCAAAAATAGTAGACTCGCCCACTTTAAGGGCATTTAAATGGTCATTGGATAAACATATGGATGATAATGGAATAGTTTAGGTTAGATGGGCTTCAGATTGGTTTCACAGGTCGGCGCAACATCGAGGGCCGAAGGGCCTGTACTGCGCTGTAATGTTCTATGTTCTATGTTCTATGTTCTATTCTTGTATCCTCAGCAAGTTTAGTAACCATGTCTTCCATTCCTTCATCCAAATCATTTATATAAAATGTGAACAGTTAATGCCCTATGTGGCACACTATCCATTACATTTGCCAACCTGGAAAAGACCAATTTATGCAAAATCTTTTTCTCCTGTTTGCCAGTCTTCTATCCATTCCAATATGTAGTCCCTACACAATGAGATTTAAATTTCACAATAACCATTGACGTGCCACCTTATCAAATGCTTCCTGGTAATCTAAGCACATTACATGTACCTGTTCCCCTTTAGCTGAAGTACATATTATCTCAAAGAGCTCCCAAAGATTTGTCAAACATGATTTCCTTTTCAAAAAGCCACATTGACTCTTATTGATTACCTTGAACATCCCTAAGTGCCCTGTTATAATTTCTCTATTAATAGCTCCTAACATTTTCTGTATAACAGATGTTAAGTTAACTAACCTGTATTTTCTTGCTTTCTCCCTCCCTCGTTTTTTGAATAAAAGAGTTACCTTTGTTGTTTCCAATCTAATGGAACTGTCCCTAAATTAAGGACACTTGTCAGCCCACAGCTCCAGCTATTTACTGAGCACTACTCCTCTGGTGATTATGATTTTCCACAGTTCCTCCCTGTCTTGCATTTATTGATTTATTCCTGCTTCTTAGATGTTACTTGTACCCTCTACAGTGAAGACTGACACAAGATACCTGTTCAATTCACCTGCCAGTTCTTTACTTTCCCTTATTAACTCTCCAGACTCACTTTCTGTAGAAACAACACTCATTTTGTTTTTTCGTCGTTTTAAAATATCTACAGAAACTCTTACTGTCTGTTTTTATAGTTCTAGCTAGCTTTGTCATGTATTCTAATTGTTACCTACTTTTTTGTTGTGTTTTTTATTCCTTGCTATTTTTCATATCCTTTCCAATCATCTGATTGGTCACCCATCTTTGCGTAACTATATCCCTTTCTCTTTTAATTTGATACTATTTTTAATATTTCCAGTTAACCGCAGGTGAGGTCATTCCTTAGATATTTTTCTTACATGTTGGAACATATGTTTTCTCAGGATTCTAAAATAGTGCCTTAAATATCTGCCCCTGCAGTTCTTTAGAACTGTTATTTAACCTAATTTGCCAACTCACTTTAGTCAGTTCTGCTTTCATACCCCCAAAATGTGCCTTATTTAAAAGTAAAAAAATACTCTCAGGAGCCCCCCTGCACCGCTTACTGAATGTAAAATTCAATCATTTAATGGCCACTGCTACCTATGAGCATCTTCACTATAAGACCATGAATTAATCCTTTGACATGACACAATACCAGGTCTAGTATAGACTGCTCTCTGGTGAATTTGAGAACATGCTGTTCTAAGAAACTACACTGAACACATTCTATGAACCCTTCATCTAGGCTACCGTTGTCCACCTGACCTTCCCAGTTAACAGAGATAACAAGGTGTGGAATTGGATGAACACAGCAGGCCAAGCAGCTTCGGAGGAGCAGGAAGGCTGAAGTTTTGGGCCTAGACCCTTCTTCAGAAATCTGAAGAAGGGTCTATGCCCGAAATATCAGCCTTCCTGCTCCTCTGACGCTGCTTGGCCTGCTGTGTTCATCCAGCTCCACACCTTGTTATCTCAGGTTCTCCAGCACCTGCAATTCCTACTACCCCTTCCCAGTTAACATGTTGATTAAAATCGTTCATTACTTTTGCTGTGTCTTTCTGGCAAGTTCTTGTTATTTCTTCCTGTATGCTCCACCCTACCTGTGGTTACTGTTATACCACTCCTATAAATGGTATCTTATTTCTTATTTCTATTTGAACTGTTTTCATATTTTGGTTTCCAGTACTTAGTCATCCCTCTTTATTGTGTGAATACCATCATTAACTAATAGACCCAGTCCTCCACCTTTCCCTAGTTTCTAGTCCTTCCTAAATGTCCCTTCAAGATTCAGGCTCCAATTCACGTTATCCTGCAGCCATGTCTCTGTAATAGCTGTGAAATTGCATTTATCCATTTCTATTTGCACTGTCAGATCAGCTGTTTTGTTTCGAATGCTACGAATGTTTAGTTTTATCTTTTAACTCTCTTTGTAAATTCTAGTGTTACCTGTTGATTGAACCTTCGCTTTCTCTAAGCATTCATGTCATGATCTGTTTATCATTATCATCTCTTAACACTTTTCCTTTTGGTTTTGACTCTGTTCTTTGACTGATGACATCTTCCGAAATATGATCCCTTGCCCCTACTATTTGATTTAAAATACTATTTTTAAATTAAATTTATGTATCAACCAACTCTGATATCTTGGGGGGAGGGGTTATATACAATCTAAGCAATGGTTTGTTTGTCTCTTTATGTATCTCCCCCCCACCCCTAATTTCCTTCCATCTGTCAGCTGACAGGTTAAAATTAGACCCAGTTTCCCCTTTCAGGTGAATTGTAAAAAAGACTCAAAACACAATTTGAAAGAAATCCTGTCCAATTTTACACTTGAACCAGCATCACTACAAGATTATGTGTGGTGTGGTTTCTTGTGTTAAATACCACAGCCAGTATGATATGGTCTGACAGCTGCCCTTTATGTTAAATTATGTAACATATTTCACAAAGCTCAGGTTCTTGTTGTGACAAATTTCTTGAACTTTATTAACTACACAAGCCAAACGGAGACATACCAGGAAATTCTTGAAGGCCTGGCATTCCAACCGGAACTCCATCAACAAATATATTGAAGTGGACCCGATATACAAACCACTGATAAACAGAACCAGAAGTGATGCCAAACACCCCAGGAAACTGAGGCATATAAATAAAAATGGGACAGAACACCAATGCTTCACCGGAGCGCACTGAAAATGTTACCGAGCAGGGCGACGAATCACCTGCAGTCAAACAAACCGACTCGGCGAGCAAGTGTACAACCTCGTTTATTAACTACACTAACTATTTACGTTGATATAACAGTTCGTAGTCTGCATTCAGTGCTTACTGATATAACAGTGCATTACATACGTATTACAGCGACTGACTGAACACATTACACTGACTGGATTACACACAGAGTGGCCGAAGATGAAGTGGGTACCTTATTGCCATGTAACGTTCTTAAAGGTACACTGCTTGTCTGGCCAGGAATCTATGCAATGAAACAACAATCTGACTATTGTCAGTTAGTGTGACTTTGTAGTGTGCAAATTAACTGAAGTATTTCTTATACTACAAGAGTAATTATTTCGCCAACTGGACAGATATAAATGCAAACCTTTATTTTGGAAAACCTTGTCTTGCCCATTAAATTTTTAAGCACAAAAAAACAGTGAGACCTAAAAAGCTAGGGAATGAACAACAGAAAGAGGGTGTGATCACTTTTCTGGTAGATATATTATCCTTGTACTGTAAACAACGATTATGTTACTGTTGATAATGAGATTGTTATTTGTCCATGAAAGACTGTTTAAAAGACAGCTACAGAAATCAACCTGATGGATTTTTGGCCTTTATTGCAAGTAGGTTAGAATAGAGAAAGGAGGAAGTGAGGTTGTATCAGAAACTTTCTCAGACACCGTCTGGACTGAGAAGCTGAGTAAATCACATTTATACTTCTGGAGTTTAGAAGACTGAGAAGCGACCTCATCAACTGACAAAATTCAGATGAGGACTGATAGCATAGACACTGATAAATGTATCCACCGGCCAATGAGTCTAAAACACAAGGGCACAGTCTTAGGAAGAGGGATTATTTAATACTGAGTTGAGGAGAAATTACTTGACTCAAAGGGTGGTGAATCTTTTGGATTCCTCCCCTCAGAGGGTTGTGGATGCGCCATCATAGATCACATTTAAGGCTGTGATGGAGAGATTACTGGTCTCTCAAGAGATCAATGGATAGGGCGAGGGGTAGAAATGTGAACTAGAGACCCCAGGGAAGCCATGATTTAGTTCAACAGCAGAGCAGGTTCAAGAAGCTACATGGTCTATTGTTCCTATTTGCTGCATTGTAGGAGAGGCAATGGCCTAGTGGTATTATCAATGGATGGTTAATCCAGAGACCCAAACAATGTCTGGGGACCAGGGTTTGAATCCTGCAGATGGTGGAATGTGAATTCAATAACATATCTGGGATAAGAATCACACTATGACCATGAATGTTTTTCAATTGTCAGAAAAACCCATCTGGTTCACTAATGTCCTTTTAGGGAAGGAAACTGCCATCCTTATCTGGTCTGACCTACATGTGACTCCAGCCCCACAGCAATGTGGTTGGCTCTTAACTGCCCTCTGGGCAATAAATGCTGCCTAGCTAGCGATGCCCTCATCCCATTAATGAATAAAAAAAATCTTGAATACACAACTGTTTCCATTGAATTATAGAACTTATATTTATAAGGTACCTCACAAGAGCTTTATCAAACAGAGTGGTCTGCTCCTAGTCATATTTCTTGTGTTCTTGTGTATTGGAACCAATTCTGGGCAGTGAACCTCAGGAATGGGTTATTGTCCTTGAAGGCCATGCAGCTTAGATTGATATTGGGACCTAGAGGCTAAGTCATGAATGCGGTCCACATTAACTGCTGAGTGTAAAGAACATTCATGCCACACAAACGCCAGGCAATGACCATCTCCAATAAGAGGCAATCCAACCACTACCCCTTACGTTCAATGGCGAGTTACCATCACCAAATCCTCCACTATCAACATCCTGGGAGTTACCATTAACTAGAAACTCAACTGGACTCGCCATATAACTACAGAGGCGACATGAACATGTCAGAGGCTAGGAATCCTGCAGGAGTAGCTCACTTTTGTCTCCCTAAAACTTGTCCACTATCTACAAGTTAGGATTGTGTAGGAATACTCCACATATGCCTGGATGAGTGCAGCTCCAAAAATGCTCAAGAAATTTGACACCATCCCGGACAAAGCAGCCGGCTTTTTTGGTACCACATCCACAAACATCTGTTCCCTCCACCACAGATGCCCAGGAGCAGTGGTGTGTACTATCTGCAAGACGCACCGCAGAAATTCGCCAAAGATCCTTAGACAGCAGCTTCCAAACCCATGACCATCCAGAAGGATAAGGACAGCAGATATATGAGAGCATCACCAACCGCAAGCCCCCCTCCAAGCCACTCATCTTCCTGACTTGGAAATATAATTGTTGTTCCTTCACTGTTCCTGGGTCAAAATCCATCATTGTGGGTCTACCTGCAGCACATAGATTGCAGCGGTTCAAGAATGCAGCTCACCACCATCTCCTCAAGGGCAAGTGGGAATAGGTAATAGATTTGGGCCAGCCTGTGACACCCGAGTCCCTTTATAGAAATACAAATTATAGAAGATTAAGTGCATAAAATGTTAAAAGAAATTTATGCAAGGGATTAATTTCAGCTGAAGGGGAAAACAAAATCAAGAACAAAATCTTCAATTTGGAGCTAGACTGTTTAAGAGTCAAATCAGGAAGCATTTTTCACAGAAAGCACAGGAAATCTGAACTCCTTTGCCTTTCAGAATGATGTAGGTGCTGGGAGTCAGTTGGGGCTTTCAAGTCGGAAATTGTTAAATTTTTGATCAGTAAGAATATCAAGGGGTGTGGAGTTAAGAGTGAGTAAATGGTTTTGAGATGGATTAGCCACAAATTGATTAATTGACAGAATAGGCTCAAGGGACTACATGGCCTCTTCCTGTGCCTAATGCTTCTCTGTTAATGAGTCATTTGTCTTCCCACTTAAAATGGGTGAAGTTTCTGTGGGATGTACACATGGCCTCTCCATCTATCTTGGCAGCATCATCAGTGTCATTAAGGAAAGCAGGAAGAAGAAACATAACCACTGTCTATTTCTGATTTGCAGGGACACAGTACTGGCATTATGATCCCATTAATGATATGGCTTTTACTGAGGATGCACATGGCACCAGATATCCCAAGCCCATCAGTGAAGGGTTCCCTGGTGCCCCCAGCCCGATAGATACTGCATATTTTGACAGAAGGGACCGAAATATTTATTTCTTCAGGGGCAATGAGGTAAGCTCAGCCTGAGTACATGGTGTTCACAACAGCCAAGATTCTTATATGTCCTCCAACCTTCAGAAGCTGAATGCAAAAAGATGTAAGTCCTGGAAGATAGCGCAAATGAGCCATTTTCCACAGGAGTTTTTGCTGTGTCTGTGCTGGATTTTAATTGAGGGAGTCTGTCGTCTTCTCTTGCTCTTGATTCTCAGATGTTGCTCCCTCTCTCTTTTCCTGAACTCCACTTTTCTGGATTCTGAACTATCATTCACAAGACCTGACCTATGTTCTGTTCGATTACCTCTTCCCTCAGTCTGTCCCTCTCCTTTTGCAGTCCCTTCTCAGATTTGAAATCCTGCAATGGGAACTTCTGGATTGAGGACGGAATATGGCTCAATTTAATGCCTCATGCAAACAAAAGCTCCTCTGACTCTCTCAAGCACACTGGCTTATCAGCTTACATGATGGGGTCAGCAAACATGAATCAGTCTACTTCCTTATTTTGCAACCCAAACTCATCGCCTTGCTCCACTCCCGTCTCAGTTCACTGGAACGTCAATCCTGTCCTGTACAATGCGTAGAACCCCATTTTCATGCCCCTTCCATGCGCCACCCCACATTCCTCCCAATCTCCACTATGATCCTTCATAGCTCCCTGTGCCCCTTCGTTCAGTTCATTCCCCAAGCCATTTCCATGCCCCTCATGTATCCTTCTTGCCCATCATCACAGTATCCACTCTAGTGAGCCCATTGGCAAGTCTGGAAATGAAATCCTTGTGAAACTGACAAAATCAGCAAACATGCGTGCATTGAAATCTCCTTTGTGAAAAGATACACATCCTACAACTTCAGGAAAGTGTCATTCAACTACAGTAATGCATGATATTATTAACACAAGCATTAATTCTCTTAATGCCTCTTAATCTTGTCCAAATGAATGCATAGGAGTTGATTTTAAAAAAATACACATCAAAGAAAGATTAACTTATTACAACCTTGTAAACCCATCAATCAAATAATGCCAGTAGCCTCCTTCAAGTTGTGTCAGCATTCCTAAGCCATTCTTAGAGCTCAGCCAAGCATTCATAATGAGGTGATCTGACATTCCCTGTAGGTTAAGAAGGGGAATAGACAATATGAGGGGGCATAGGGGAATATGACAGGATGCTGGCAAAACCTTTTAAATTTACTTGACAAAAGGCTCCTGACAAAGGTTCCGCAAGGCTTCCCCACTGATTACAAAGACTCACCTGGTGGGGTCCCACAGACTTCCAAATCCCTCTTGCCACAACAAGAATAGCCTATGAGGATGAAATTCACATTTCGCTCAGACTTTTATATCGATGACGACATTGCAGGATGTGTGAACCAGGTTGCAACCTTTCACAACTACGGAAAGGTAGAGGGATCAGGAATGCATGGGTAAAATTTGACCATTCATTTTATGCATTCCCCACTCAATTTCAGGCAGATGCAGGAGGGAAAGCGCCATCCAATAGTATTTAAGTCTCAGGAGTGGGATGTGACCTTACAACCTACTGAGCCAGAAAGGAGAACTGAACTGGAGCTACCATCAATGAAGACATCTCCTTCACAAATCAAGGAAGACAGAAATAGGAGGGAGGGACAGGTGTTGGACAGGAGGTTTCTGAAAGCGTCAATCTCACATCAACAGGATGTGAACCTAAACTCAATGTAATCAGTTTGATTCTGCTCCGTCCTAAACGTTTCTCCTTTGGTTGTCTTTCTGCAGGTGACTGCTTTCACTATCGATCTTAATCAGAAGGTCAACGGGTTTCCGAAAAAGATTGTGGATTTTTTCCCACCCGTTGTGGCCAGCGACCATCCGGTGGGGAATCTGGACGCAGCGTTCTACTCCTACACACACCGCGCTCTCTTCTTCCTGAAGGATCAGTATTTCTGGAAGGTGGTGAGCGAACAGGAACGTCAGGTCAACCCTGCGCTGCCAGTCAGGGGCCTGCACAGCCGCGGAAGAGTGTCCGAGCAATGGTTTGACATCTGCGACATCCACTCGTCAATGCTCGGTGCGTTGCCCAGTTAAGGGTCACACAACGGCCCACACTTTTGAGATGCTGTGCCGCCATTATTGTATGTACTTACATTGAGTGTGGGCGAGGTGCTAGCCACATCTTTTCTACGTGCATTTTGTAAATACAGTGTGTGTTTTTGTCGGCTACAGCTTCAGTTGATTGGGCAGGGATAGAGGTGAAATGGTATTTTGCAGTTTCCAACATGGCCCAGTTTTTCTGTCTCTGCAAGCGCAGAAACAGAAGGTAGAACTTGGAAAGAGCCCTCTATAACAATGATCATCCACAGGCTCTGGTGGCAGGGAGCACTGATGAAGACAGAAGAGTAATACATAATTATTCATCAAGCCTTTTCTATATTTAATAGGTAACAGTGAGAACAGGGGGCAGTATCCCAGCTCAAAAAGACAAGGTTAAGCAGATATCTAAAAAGAGGCCTTTGTTTGTGCATTTATATAACTAGAATGTATGTGGAGGATCAGTGTTTAAAGACTTTTTTTCTATTCACATTTGAGTATCACTGGCAAGGCCAGTCTTTGTTGCATATCCCTGTTGAGTAGGTTATGGTCAGCTGCCTTCTTGCTGTGTTGCAGCCCATGTGGTTCCACATCCCCCCCACCATTGCTGTTGATCTGACTGACTAAGTAAGTGCCCTTGTTTGATGGCTCAGTATCAAGTTTTGTCCAGTGATGTTCCTAGGTGGTTAAAGGCACTATATAAACACAGGTCAAGAACATGCGATTCACAAGCCTCTGTGTGAAGAATTTCTCATCATCTCAGACCTAAACAATTAGCCCCTTCTCCTGAAACAGGTTTTACTCCATGTTAAAATACTCAGGCCACTTTGAATATTTTCCTGGTTCCCCTTTTCGCCTTTCTAAGACCCCATGAATGCCTGGATGCCACAATGCTGCCCAGCTTCCAAGTTCCACCCTGTCAGTGGACTTTTGCAATGGGGCCAATAACAGTGCCCCTCCAAATCCACATCTTGTATTACTCCAAATATGTATACTCCTGTTCCTGCATTACTACAGTATGGGTTTGCCAGTTCTGGCTGGAGAAATTCCTAGAGGTTTTATTGCATGACCTCCCACATCCAGTTGCTCCACCCAGTCAAATAACTTTCTTTTCTCATTTCCAAAATTTGGATAAACAAACATCAGAGTAAAAGCAAAAAAAACTGCTCATCATTGCACCTCACTCTCCCCTTATTTTTCTCCTGGTTCCTCAGAGCAGAAGATTAGTCTAACATCTGGAGATCCAGGTGAATCAATAAAGGTTGGCAATGGGCAGGGAGGCTGGTGGGAATCTGGAACTCACTGCCCACCAGGGTGGTAGAGCCACCAACCCTCATAACATCGAAGAAGTATTTAGATGTGTACTTGTGATACCAAGGCTATGGGCCAAGTGCTGGAAAATAGAATTCGAATAATGAGGTGGTTTTGACCGGCACAGACTCGATGGGCAGAAAGATCTTTTCCTCTGCTGCAGAGCCAGATTCTATGACTGTAGAGGCAATAGATGTGGTGCTGCTTGTGATGGGTGCTATGTTATCAGAACATCTACACCATGCGAACATACAAACTAGTAATAGAAGTAGTGTACTCATTCCCTGAAGCCTATCCTGCCATTCAACAAGTGATGGCTGATTCCTTTTGGTCTTTGGTCTACTTTCCAGTACCCATCACCAGTCCCACCCCCCACCCCCAAGACTCTTTGGCTTCCTTCTTAGACAAAATTTTGCCAACTTCAACCTTAAAAAATTTCAATGACCTCTTCTACTGTCTGGGGAAGAGAGTTCCAAAGATCCATAACCATCCTGGAGAAAGAATTTGTCCTCTTCTCTCACCTTCATCTCTTATTTTTAAATAGTGCCTCCCGGTTCTAGTCTCTCCCACAAGGCGAAACATCCTTTCAGCATCCACCCTCTCAAGTCCCCTCAGTATCTTAGACATTTTCATCATCCATTGGAGACAGGTCCAACCTGACCAATTATTTTCCTCCTAGGATAAGCCCCTCATCTCAGGACTCAGCCAATGAGCCTTCTCTGCACTACTGCAAATAAAATTCTGCTTTTCTCAAATAGTGAGTCTAAAACTGTACATAGTCCTCTGGACAAAACAAAACCCCGAAAGAACTGCAGATACTGTAAATCAGAAACAAAAACAGAAATTGCTGGAAAAACTCAACAGTTCTGGCAGCATCTGTGAAGAGAAAGCAGAATTATTGTTTCGGGCATAGTAACCCATTTTGAAGAAGGGTCACTGGACCAGAAATGTTAACTCTGCTTTCTCTCCACAGATGCTCCCAGACCTGCTGAGGTTTTCCAGCAATTTCCATTTTTGTCACAGTCCTCTGCATGTGTTTTCACCAATACGCTATATAACCAAGCAAAATATCCCTACTTCAATATCCCATTCCCCTTGCCGTGAACAACAAATGCATCTTATTGATGCCTAGGCACTGGAGTCTGCTGCATACTTTCCTGGCTCCACTTTAACCACCTTTACTCAGCACTTCAGTAATTCATGGATGTCTGGAAATGTCTAATGTCACTCATTGTACCTCCTACTTCCTCATTTTATTGTCACTTCAGCCATTAAGCCCTCCTCTGTTCCCCGTTTAACCACTTTTAGGGCATTCTAACTTAAGAATGGTGACTACACTTCAAAGGTACATTGTTGGTTATAAGGCACTTTGGGAGCTCTGTGATCATGAGGTGCCTTCTGTAAGTACAAGTCTTTTTTTCCAGTGTGTATCCTTCCTATTTCCCCTCATTCTAGTCCTTTTTCAAGTGCTGGTCATCTCCAGTCTCTTCCATTTTACTACCAGACATTTGTTTTCTCTGTTCTTATCACAGAGGCTGTCCAACCTAGAATCCCCACTATGTTGGAGCAGGCCATTTGGCCCATCGAGTCCACACTGACCCTCCAAAAAGCATCCCACCCAGACTCACCACCCCTACCCACACTGTATCCTTGCATTTACAATGGCCAATCCACCTAACCTACGCACCTTTGGACTATGGGAGGAAACTGGAGCACCCAGTGGAAACCCATGCAGACACAGGAGAACATACAAACTCCACACAAATAGTCACCTGAGGCTGGAATTGAACCTGCATCCTGGTGCTGTGAGGCAGCTGTGCTAACCCCTGAGTCAGCATGCCAGCCCAAACCTGCTAAACATTCCAAGCATTTCTGCTTTCTTTTCAGAGTGCCAAGATCTGCAGTCTAGATTGTTTCTCATCTCAGTTTGGATCCCCTTGTTTTTCATACATCATTAACAGGTTCATTAACAGGGTTTGACCTATTAAATCATTTAATCAATTATGAAATGACGGTGAGGTGAATAATGGGGTGTTGATGGCCTAGTGGCATTACCACTGGATTGTTTAGCCAGACACCTAGGTAATGCTCTGGGGATCTAGGTTCAAATCCTACCATGGCAGATGGTGGAATTCAGATCCAATGAAAATTTGGAGTTAAGAGTCTAATGATGACCATGAATCCATTGTCAATTGTCTGAAAAAACCCATTCTGTTCACTAATATCCTTTAGGTAAGGAAACTGCCATCCTTACCTAGTATGGCATACATGTGACTCCAACCCTACAGAATTGTGGTCGACTCTTAACTACCCACTGGGCAATAAGGAATGGGCAATAAATGCTGGCTTAACCAGCAAAGCCCACATTAAAAAAAAATGAAATGACAGTAAATTAAGGTGCTCAGAACCTCTAAGGCAAACACAGCCAGGAGAAGGGGGGGTAGGGGAGTTGGTGAGGGTGGTATGGAGGTAGAACAATAGTGAACAAAATAAGTGAATGTTGAGGACAGAAATAATTCAGTTAGTCCTTTATGTTTCTTCAAATAAAAATTAAAGAGTTTCGTTAAATTCAGTTCAGTCAGTTGTCCAATGATTCCTGTCAATATCCAACAGTGTCACTAGGTCTGTGGATCTCCTCAAAGGCATCTTTTAAATGTGAAATTATGTAAAACTGCTGAGAATTGAAGATATTTATTTTTGAATCATTGTTATATTTATACCGTGTGCAGTGTTTGTCTTAGTTCTTTCATTCAGATTCTTCAGTTTACAGGTTCAGAGACTAATGAAATATCAGACAATAAACACTTTTAATGGCCCTCTGGTCTGCTGGTTAATGTCCGCTCGTTAAAATTTAACGTCTATTTTTGCAAATAACAAATTCATTGCTTCCCTGAAAGTGTTCAGCATTCTCATTCCTTAATCGGTCTTCAGTGCCCGATCTACTGGGCAAGTCCAACTGTTTGTGTGTGGCCACACTGGATGAGGACAACATTAGGCCTAACTACAATGCCCTCCCTCACAGCTGACAAATAACCTCTCCAGGTTCACGCGTTCACTCTCTTCGGTGAGGTAGAGTTTGGCAACTGATGCCAATGGATAGGCATAACAGCAAAGGACACCCACTCTCAGGAGACGATCGAGAAGAATCTGCAAATGGACTGAGCTCAGGAACTAGATGGCCAAGGTACTCCCACCTTGACAAGTGACACATTCGTCATGTCACTCTCTGAACCTATATTCCATAACTGATGTAGAATCCAATAAACAAGTTCCCTGGTAACCACTACGTAGTGCACTGTGGGTTTTTTTTTCTTTTTCTTTTCAGGCCCTGTTGAAGTGAATGGATATCACACTTTAGGGAATATGTTATAACAAGGTGTAGAGCTGGATGAACACAGCAGGCCAAGCAGCATCAGAGGAGCAGGAAGGCTGGCGTTTCAGGTCTAGACCCTTCTTCAGATTTCTGTGTTCATCCAGCTCTATACCTTGTTATCTCAGATTCTCCAGCATCGGCAGTTCCTACTGTCTCTTAGGGAATATGTTGTTGTGATTTCTATAGTGACCAATAACTTTTAAAAACAAATTTAGACACCTAGCTGAAATGGTGACACAGCATTCTTCCATCAGGCAGAAGATACAGAAGCTTGAACAGATGCACCAAAAGGTTCAAGAACAGCTTCTTCCCT